TTCATACAGATGGTTTGAGTTATTTTATTCACCAGTAAAAATACAAGAATCCGTGGATTTAAAACTGTTTTAATGCCATCATATAAACATAATATTACATAATTTGTTAGAATAAATCTGTATAATGAAAATTAAAGAAAAAGGATACCAGTAAAACAACTTCTTTAGTTTTTTACTTCGCTAATAATAAATATTCTTGTAGTTTGGAACAAGATTTATTCAGAATTATTGATTGTTTAGAAAAAATAATCATATTTTTTTATACATGAGGGTAATCATGAGGTTCACTGTAAATATAATTGGAAATCTAAACATCTAAACCTATACATTATCAGTCAAGTTACAAAAACTAATAAATAAACCAATTCCTAAAAGTGTATTATAATTATAAACAACTAAAGTATATCAATCAAATATAAATAAAAACTTAAGTACCTAGTTCATAGAATTACAACAACAGTCATGAAAATTAACGGAAGAGTAAATTTAGATAGATCATGGATATATAACAGATATTCATATTTTAAGTTATTCAAAAGTGTTTTATTCTAATAAAATATTCATATTTCATAGTATTAGGCACACTACAACAGTGAAAACCTTTGACATTTTGGGCAGTATCGTTCGTTATTTGCTTATTATTTACACATAGGCGTGTGCAAGGATAGGGCTGATTGGGCTTTAGGCTTTAGCCCCACCTGAGATTTTTTATACGTGGGTGGGTTGGTACCTTATGAAAATATGACTAAAAGTAGGTATAGCCCTTTTAGTTTTTAAACGTTTGTTTCCCCTAGAGACAATACAGGGTGATTCATTTAAAATTGAACACCCATTATTTCAAAAAGTGTAATTGTTTTTGAAAATATTTTTTTACATAGTTTCAATTCCTTTACCAAACAAATTTGTTATTAAAAAACTATATTTTTAAAAAAAATTTTACATTTTTAATTTTTAAAATTTTTTTAATGACAACATAGAGTTTTAATTTCATATTCCAGAGCAGAATTTTTCTAAGTATTTCGATACATAAAAATTGAATATGGGAAGTCAAATTTAGTGCGAGTAGTTTATGCTTTATAGGTATTTAAAGTTTAGATGTGCAGTTGAGTGGTAAGGGGTTACCCCTCAAAATGCATGACCACTACTCCTCTCATCTATACTTTAAATATTTATATCTCATAAACTAATAGTCCTAAAGTCGATTTCCCATGTATAATTTATAATAATAAATAAATATTAATGTTAATTGACAATTTTTAATATTTTATTTTGAATGTTTTTGAATAAATTGTTTTATTAGATTATATTTGGTTCAAATTTTAAATCAATATTGATGAATTTTGTTTGTGTGAAATAATGAAAACTGATTGTTTACATTTTCCAGTAATCAACACAAGGGTTACTTAGAGGTTTGAAGTGAAAGTGTCTATAATTTTTTTCTTGTGTGACCATGACCAGGGGGTGGATGATCAGATTGAATTTGGCCATGCCTGACTCAGAGGTCTGCACACACTTATGTATTTACTATATTCTATAGGTTCAAGGAATTTAATTTAGCAAATAGCAATAACAAAAATAATAATCATATCTATTTTGTATACATTTTTTTTGTAGTTGAAATTTCAATAGTTATCATTGAATATGAATTATTTAATAATTAGATCCCTTAGTATATACTGATTATAATAATATTTCATATAATCGGCTGTAGAAACACTAAAGAATTTAAGTTTAAAAATAAATACTTGAGGTCTTCTGATAATGTTAAACTAAATAGTGTTAAAGAAATTTAAATATTGTGTACCATATTTATTTTAGGTTACAATGGAACAAGTAAAACCTTTGTTCTTAACTGGAAAAAATCAAGAGCCTATAATAACCAAAATATCTGACACAATGTTTGGTGTTGTCAAAGATTCCCATTTTATTGTTATGAGTACAATGGACGATGTAGCTGAACAGCAATTTATTAAATGGATAGACACACCATCTATTATTTGTGAGTAAAAGTTTTATATTTTAGAGTATAAGTATTGAATATTTTAACACAATTTTATTTCAGTATATGATGAACCTTACTTAATTGCAAGTATAAGTGATAAGTTGTATGTACAAACTATAGAATCAGTTGAAAGTTCAGTGTCTCGTCAAGTAATATCAGTTACTTCTAAAACATCCAATATGTTTTCTTGTCAAAATGGTTTAATTTATGTTTCATCTACGTTGGATGTCTGCTGTTTAAAAGCAGTTCCATTTGCAAAACAAATCAAACGACTTCTTGAAGACAAAGATTTTCAACTGGCTTTAAAATTGGCTGTAAGTAATTAACTATAAAGATTACTAGTCTGTCATATAATAATACATTTTATATAAATATTATTTTCTTACAAATGAATTGGGTGCATTTTTCTTGATTAATGATAAATAGTAAATACCCACCACCAGTCAACACATTGACTGAATATGTTTTATTAAAAGTGCCATTTTTAGTTATGTTAGATTTTTTATTTTTAAATAATGAATGCGTATTACCCCTTTGACTACTGTTGATGTATATACCCCATTCTTTTTATTAAAAATAAAAACCGTTTTTTACTTTATTAAAGTCATAACGCATTGACGGATAGTTATGAAATACATAGTACTTTAAAAACCAACCAAAAATGAATCCCATATAAAACTTAAAAACTAAGTTAATATTATTTTCATAAGGTCAATAAATTGTAATAATATTTTCATATTTACCTATATTTTACTTAGTATATTTTTTAATATATTATAATACAATATAGAACATATCTGATGAATCTGTTGATGACAAAGAAAAAAATGTATCACAAATTAGAACCTTATATGCCAATGATTTATTTGAAAAAAAGAAATATCAAGAATCCATGAGAGAGTTTTTGAAGTTAAATACAGGTATGAAAGTTGTATTGTTCATATTTTAAACTTGATCTAAGTGCAATATTAATTTAAATTCTACAGATCCTTATGATGTTATCAGATTATTTCCAAATTTATTACCTCAAAGTGATTCAGACTATGGAGAGGAAATACTTGAAAAAGAAATGGAAATAAAAATTGTCGCATTGATTGAATATTTAACTGAAGTAATAACATGAGTATTTAATTAAATTAATTGTATTTCAAGATTAATCTATTAGTGAATTTTTAGGTGCGATTCAAACTTTTGAAAGAACCGAATGTTAAAAATCAATCAGATATTCTTGAAATAAATAGTAATCATCAAGAACAGTTACTTCAAATAATAGATACTACACTTCTGAAATGTTATTTACAAGTAAGTTATATCTACAAAAAATAATGACAAAATTATAATTTGTATACATTTTTATGTTGTAGACTAATGATGCTCTGATAGCGCCTCTTTTAAGACTTAACCATTGTCATTTATTAGAAACGGAAACAACATTAAAAAAGTATAAGAAATACAGTGAATTAATAATTTTGTATCAAACCAAAGGATTACATAGTAAGGCATTAGAACTCCTTCAAAAGCAGTCAGATGATTCTGATTCTAATCTCAAAGGACCCGAAAGAACTATTCAATATCTACAAAATATTGGTAATTAATTACCATTTGTGTTTATTATTAATTATTATATTACCTTCTGTTTTTTTTATATATATTTTATAATTTACCAAATATTTATTTAATAGGTTCAAATAATATTGATATCATTCTACAGTTTTCTGATTGGGTGTTAAATAAGTATCCAGAAGAAGGGCTTACTATATTTACAGAAGACGTTGCTGAAGTAGAACACTTACCTAGACCTAAAGTATTGGATTTTTTAATTAGAAATCACAAAAATCTTATTATACCTTATGTGGAACATGTAATACACGTTTGGAATGATACCAATGCTATATGTCATAATGCTTTAATACATCAATATAGAGAAAAGCTTCAAAAATACAACACCATGTCAATGCAAGCTGATGAACAAACAGCACAAAACACTAAAACAAAGCTTTTGGAATTTTTAGAACAATCGAAGTGTTATACTCCGGAAACAGTATTGGTACATTTTCCTTTGGATGGTAATGTTAAAAATGTTGCTATTCTAGTATTATTACATGATTAAAGATCTTTTACTATTATAAAATATAATGCAATAGGATTTTTTGAAGAACGTGCTATAGTATTGGGTAAACTTGGTCGCCATGAACAAGTCTTGTCTATGTATGTCACTGTGTTGAATGATGTTAACCGAGCAATTGAGTACTGTGATAAAGTTTATAAATCAAAAAATGAAGACTGCGATCAAGTAATTTTATTAAAAAATTAAAAAAATTATAATACATTTTATGTTTATGCATTTGAAAATTAATTATAGATTTATGTAATACTGTTGAGATTACTTATTGACCCTCCGGATAGTTGGTTAGCTGGACTAGGAGGTGTATCAAAACCAGCACCCAATTTAGAGAAAGTTGTTGAGATTTTAAATAAAAATGCTGCTCAAATCGCTACTCCAGATGTATTAAAAGTGTTACCAGATGAAATACCTATTAATCGTATTAGTAATTTTCTAGTAATTGCACTAGACAAAGCAATCAGTGATAGAAGGCTTTATCAAGTGAATCGTGGACTGCTTTATGCTAAGCTTTTAAAAGTAAAAATTATTATTTTTGTTTAATATTATTTGAAATATTCTAATATTTAATATTATTTGTTAGATTCAACAACAGAGAATATTTTACGAATCGCAAAATATTACTTTGACGGAATTCAATATATGTAGAGTATGTAAAAAACGATTTGGAAATCAAAGGTACTTTAATTAATTAAATATTAAAAAACAAAATATACATTATCTAAATGTTTCAGTGCATTTGTAAGATGCCCAAATGGTGAAATTGTCCATTATTCATGTCATAATCACAAGGCAGATCAATAAGAAAATAAGTAATATCTTAACTTATTTAAAATATCTGAGTTCAATTACATAGCTTAAAATTGCCATGGACAATTATATGGATATGTCTGATCCAGATCCTTCATGATCAGAATCCATAAATGTATCTTCTTCATGTACAGCATTATTGAATGGTGTTGATTCATTTTCAGCATTATTAACACCACTAAATGTTGCATCTAATAGTGACCCATTTAAAACGGGTCCAGTCGAATCTGCAGATGTGGCTGTTGAAGTATTACACGGTTTTCCCAAACTCTCTAAACTCTCCATAACTCGTTTATTATTAGGGTCGAGACTAAAAAACATCAAACAAAAAATTATAAATATTATGTGAATTTTTTTTAACTAAAATATAAGTTTTTTAATTTATAAAAAATCTAATAAGATACCTATTGTAATTTAAAAAGTGAATATGTTTATTTAACATCAATTATAGAATAGAATTATTTAAAAAAAAATCCTATTGTTATCAGATGAAATATTCTAATTAAACTATGTTTTTATATTTATACATTAAGTATTTAATATTTAAATTTAAAATTAATTATACTTATATAAAGGAATATTATATTGTTATTATTTATTAAAACATGATATTTAATACACCTAAAAACCAATAGAATAATGAATAACCGTCAAATATATTATGTAAACAACTAGCAACATTGTGGTTTATTGAAGTGCATTGACATAATTAAAAAAGTTATATCTAAAAAAAATACAATTTTAGAAGCCTATCTCGTCCTGAAAGTAGTTTATTTTGTTTATAATTAATTTTAATAATAAATTTATATAAATGTATAGGTGTATTTATATCAATCATCATTTAAATTGAACTTATGGATGTTGCATTGTATAAAAATATGTAAGCCAACATAACTGATACCATTTTTAGGGGGGCTGGAAGCGCTCTTTTTCTAAGGAGTAAACGATAAGCAATTAGCTTATCAGTTAAAGTCGCATAGTGCTGTTGTGTGAGTAGTAAAAAAACATTTATGTAAGGGTCCAGAGCACCACCACTACTACCCGCACATTCAACAACGGTGGGATATTCATTACAATTTCCAAGAAACAACTTGCAGTTTGCACGCACATGCACAAGTCATTGATGAAATAAAATACTATAGAACAATTTTTAAAGAAATATCAAAAATCGGTTTCCACAATAACCTAGAAAAAAGGTCGATCAACTCAAATTTTTTTACAGAATTGAAATCTGATTATTTTAAGTGCGTAATATTTTTAGGATTTTGGGTCTACAACGTGAAATAAGTACACTGCTTCCAATCCCCTAAACATTGTTCGTCTCTTTTCTTTGTTTCTATGTTAGTTAATTATTCTTAAAAAGCTTTTATGTCAGTAACAACAATTATTTCTCTATCTGTTATGTTGGCCTAAAAGTGTGTGAATGCCATATCCATATGTTTGATATTAAACTTAAAAAATCAATTTAATTACTTGAGTGCAGAATAATAGAAGTCAAACGCTTTTTCTAGTTGATTTTGTTTGACACTTAAATCGCCTAGCATTTGATATATTCTACAAGTTGGTTGGTCTAATGCTTGCTTATGCAATACAGCAACAGCAGGACTGAGATTTCCTTCTTGTTCATATATCTGAGCAATCATATATATTGCTGGGAGATAGTATTCATCGACATTTAATGCTCTTTCCAAAAGTATTTTTGCTTTGCTCACTGTCATTGGATCTTTCATGAGTATCGAAGCATATAACTAAACAATAAATATGAAATATGTAAGATATTATATTAAAATACATTTATAAATAGGTACAGAGATTTCTATTAATATTTACTTAAGAGAATGTCAGTGCACTATTAGTTTTCTCTCTCTGACCCATATGCAACATAGACAAAATGCATTATTGCAGAATCAGTTTTTCTATGTTTTTAAGTATTCTTAGAGTAAAATCACCCATTACAAAAAAGAAAAAGAATAATATTTTTGAGGGAATGACATATCGATTTTATATTTTATTGTTATTTAACTTTAAAAATAAACAAAAAAAAGGTGGGCAAGTGGGTGTCGCTCTGCTGTACAGTAGGTTACAAGTGGGTCACTATATAATGGATTGTATAATGGATGATATTAAATTTGAATTCAACGATATAATATCATTGTATAAGAAAAACGATTCTGAGCGGAGATGGTATGTCAGTCTATGTATAAGATATATTATATACATATCTATGGTATTAAACAAATAATTGACCTATAATAGGTTCCTATAATAAATTCCAAATTAATCATATCACAATATCCATTAGGTACTTATAAGCATTATACATCAACAAAAACTGTGATACTATCATAGACAGTGGCAACGTGATTTTTTCATGAGGCAATTGCCTCACGACCAATTAGGTGGTGGTACCCCCCCCCCCTGGGTACGGATATTAAAAACCACCTATGAAATATGGTCAAGGGGACGGAGTGGCCGAGTGGCCGGTGCCAGCTCGATTCCTTGGTCGCGGACGGCAATTTTCTTTGGGCAAGTCACGGTGAATAAGTGCCGCCATCTCCCACCCGGGCATGGCAAATACCTACGGGTGCCCCAAATAAAAAATTCTGCCAAAACAAACACACACATGTAACAAATCTACAGTACCCTCCCCTACAGTACCACAGGCTAATGACCTAAGTTGTCGAAGCTTTAACCCTAATAAAAAAAAGTAAATAAATAAATAAATATGGTCAACTAATGTCTAACACTATAAATTATACTAATTTTATAATATTTCTGATATTAACACAACAAAGTATATTATCGTTGTAGAATTGTGAATGGGGGTGTGGGGGCTTTGCCCCCACGTGTCTGTGTGATAAAATTTAGGTGGTGGTGGTGGTCGAGCATTTATACTTGCCTCATAAAATAAAATAGTTCACGCCGCCACTGATCATAGATATATAATAGTGCACTTTAGAAGTTTCAAGTAACCACGAATAATATTATTCAATCACAACAAAATAACTAAAATAGTTATTCAAGGTTTTTTAATATGTAATTTCGTCCAAATTTGAATTTAAAATGTATGTAAAAAATAACTGTGTTCATATATTTTTTAGATTTTTTGGTTACAGTATGAACTATTTACGAGAACCTTTGTGTTGAATTTTCAATCCTTAGCTATAAAAACTGAACATTTTATAATATATTAATTACAATGATTGATAATTTTCGAGATTTTGATAAGTTTTGTCAAAATTTGATCTTTAAATGCTTATAAAAAAAAAACTGTGCCTATGTATTTTTATTATTTTTCAACTGATATTGTAACAATATATCAGGAGCCTTGTATTAAATTTTTACACTTTTTGGCCCAACAGATAAAACTTTAGTGATATTTATAGAAAAAAAAACTAAAAAAAATTGAAAGCTGTAAATGTCCATAAACAGCTCAAAAAGAGTCAAAATATTTTCAAAATTGTATGGTGTATAGGAAATGTTAATATAAACATTCAGTGAAATTTTCATGTATCTACAGTTATTCGTTTTTGAATTACAACAAAATAAGGAAATCGCTACATGAGAAATTGAGTGAACATCCAATGTTGTAAAAATTTGAATTTCAAACGCTCATAAAAATTTAATTTGACTTTCCGGTAGAGATTTTTTATTGATAAATGTAGACAAACTTGTGAGTAATCTTGTATTACATTTTCAAATCTTAGATTTAAAAAGAAAAATTTTTACGAATTCTTAACTCAAAATAATTCTCTAATTTTCGTGATTTTTCCATATTTTTACAATTTTTGAACTTTAAATGCTTATAAAAAAAAATTGTGACTAAGGATTTTTAATATTTTTCATCTGCCTTTGAAACAATATATTAGGAGACTTCTATTAAATTTTCAAGCTTTCGCAACCAACAAATAAAATTTTATTGATATTTTTAGAAAAAAAACTAAAAAAAATGGAAAATGAAAATGTCCCTAAACAGTTCAAAATAAATCAAAATATTTTGAAAATTGTAATATTTGTAGGATGATGATAAATTAGCAATAAACAATTTAACTAAGTGTTCTTTTAATATTTTTAACATAACATAATAAAGAACTGAACAACTTCAAAGCATACTACAAAGCATGCTTATATCATGAGTGACTGTGTGAGTATATGACAATTGACAAAATATTTTAAGGTTATATCTAAGGTCATGGAACAAACACTACAGTTCCTCCAAACTTAATTACAGAATACTATTCATATAAAATACATAATAAAATATTAACTTTAACAATCAAAAGTAAATAAAATAAAATAACAAAATATACAAAATATAGATAGCCAAAAAACAATATACAGTAGAAATCGGTTATAACGAGTTTCAAGGGCCATCTAGTTTTTCTCGTTATAACCGGTAACTCGTTATATGCGGTTAGAACGAACATTCGTTGAAACCGATTAAAAGCGGAAATACAAAAATAAAACCGACTTTTTTTATTTTAGACAAAAAATTTTTATTTACATACATTATTTATACATTTATTATTGAATTTATTATTTAACTTACATTATTTATACATTTATTATTGAATTTATTATTTAACTTGAATTGATTTAATTTTTATTTAATTTCTTAAAATAATCTTTGATCGAACTTTGCTTCGTGTTAGAGTTGATCGATGTTTCTAAAAAAGACAACGCTTTTCTTTCAGCATCTGTACCTTCATATTTTGTGTAATAAAATCTTTCTAGTGTAATCCATATCTACACAACTAAAGATAATATGTCAATGATTAATCGACCTAAATACGAAAATAGTTCGTATCTTGCAGGTACTTGTTCGTAGTAACCGGAAGGTCGTTAGTCAAGTTAGCTTTATTTTACTCGTTATAGCCGATAACTCGTAATAACCATACTCGTTGTAAACGTATATTTTAACATACAATCATATGCGCTCGTGCCGGGACCTAACGTTTTGCTTGTTGTAAGCAGTATCTCGTTCTAAGCGATGCTCGTTATAGTGATTTCTACTGTATTAATTAATAATAATGACAATTAAAAAATATTTATACTAATAACATATTTTACAAATTCAATTTATTAGGTGAACGTTTAACTCGCTTAGGTCTTTCAGTACTAACACAAGTATCCTTTTGAGAATCGAACACATCCTTCCCTAACTCTTCAGTTACCTCCAATTTTTCCTCAATTACTTCTTCTTGCTCCAAATTAATGTTTTGATCTGTACTCACCTCTTTTTCAACAACTAAACCACAATCTATAATCTGATTCACATGTCTCTTCCAAATTCTACCATCACCTAATCTCAAGTCATAAGTAACAGGAGATAATTTCTGTAATATAACTGCTTGTACCCACTCATCCCCTCCAGTATAATTCCTACACATTACTAAATCCCCAACAATATACTCTTTATTTCTATTACCTCTATACCAATTTTTATTTTTAACCAAACTTTTTTCATAATTAACTTTAGCAAAAGGTGTCAACCTATCATAAGATGTAAATAAAGAACGCCCGATATGCAGTTGAGCAGGACTAAAACCAGTAGAACAGTGTTTAGTGCTATTATAAGACAAAATAAATTTCAACACACTAGTATCAATACAATCTTTATTATTAGTACTAGAAATTACTTTCTTTAAGTAATTTTTGAAAGTCCTCACTAAATTCTCTGCTGCGCCATTAGATGAAGGGTTATATGGAGCAGTTTTAATGTGAAAAACACCATTGTTTTTAAGAAATGTTTCAAACTCAACAGAACACAAAGAAGGCCCATTATCAGATACCAATTTTGCAGGTATACCCCAAGTTGCAAAATACTCTCTTAACACCATAACAGTAGAACTAGATGTTATATTTAACATTCTTTTCACAAAAACCCACTTTGAGTATGCATCTAAAATAACTATGAACATCATACCCTTAACAGGTCCTAAAAAATCTACATGGATTCTTTGTGCAGGACCTTCAGGCCAAGGCCAATTATGTAACACACTCTTAGGTGGACTATCGCTAAGAATTAAACATTCTTTACACTCTTTTGTAATACATTCAATTTCGGAATCCATACCTGGCCACCATAAATAAGATCTAGCCAATGCTTTCATCTTGACAGTACCCATATGTGTACTATGCAATTCCTGCAACAATTGTTTCCTATACTTTGGAGGAATAATTAATCGATGTCCCCACATCAAACAACCCTGCTCGATAGACAATTCCAGTCTCCTACTGTAAAATGGTTTAAGAACTAGTGAAACATCCTTACTGTTATCAGGCCAATTCCCAGTAAACACTTTAATAAACACATCACGCAGAACAACATCTTTTTTAATTTCATTACAAATATCTAAATCTCCAATAGACTTAATATTAGTAGTTACCATATTAATGAAAAAATTATCACACTCTATATCATTACTACCAATTACACTTAAAGGCAATCTTGATAGAGCATCAGCATTACCATTTTCTAGACCTTTAATAAATTCTATTTTATAAGTATAACCGGATAAAAATATAGCGTAACGCTGTAGTCTATGTGCTGACATAAGAGGAATTCCTTTCTTTTCACCAAAAATACTGACTAAAGGCTTGTGGTCAGTCCTCAAAATAAATTCCCTACCATACACAAACTGATGGAAATATTTAATGGCAAAAACTAAGGCAAGGGCTTCCTTGTCAATTTGTGCATAATTCTTTTCAGATGCACTCAACGTCCTAGATGCAAAAGCAATAGGCTTCTCCGACCCATCTGGCATTATATGTGATAATACAGCTCCCACACCAAAAGGACTAGCATCACTAGCTACAATTAATTCCAAATTTGGGTTATAATGTACCAAAACCTTATTAGATAAAATAGATTCCTTAATTTTAGAAAATGCTTTACTCTGAATTGCATTCCAAACAAATTGTGTATTGTTCTTCAACAATGCATATAACGGACCAGCGATAGTAGACATATTTTCTACAAATTTACCGTAGTAATTAACCAAACCCAAAAATGCCTTAACATCCTGTGTACTTTTAGGTATTGCCACATTATTAATTGCTTTAATTCTTTCATCGGGTATATGGAGACCATTTTTATCTACCTTGTAACCTAAAAATGTAACATGGTCGGTAAAAAAATTACATTTTTCTTTCTTTACCGTTAAACCTGCCAAAGAAAGTTTATCTAAAACACTATACAGTCTATCACTTAATTCTTTGTCATCTTTCCCAGCTATTACAATATCATCGTAAAAACATACAGTGCCTGGTATAGCACTTAATAATTTTTCCATTTCTCTTTGTAATAACCCTGGAGCTGAGGCTATACCATATGGTAATCGATTAAACATAAACAATCCTTTAAAAGTAGATATAGTTGTTAGTTTTTTACTCTCTTCACTAAGTACCAACTGCTGATACGCTTGGCACAAATCTAACGAACAAAACTTTGCAGCTACAGTTATTCGTTGTCATGTATCTACAGTTATTCGTTTTTGAATTACAACAAAATAAGGAAATCGCTACATGAGAAATTGAGTGAACATCCAATGTTGTAAAAATTTGAATTTCAAACGCTCATAAAAATTTAATTTGACTTTCCGGTAGAGATTTTTTATTGATAAATGTAGACAAACTTGTGAGTAATCTTGTATTACATTTTCAAATCTTAGATTTAAAAAGAAAAATTTTTACGAATTCTTAACTCAAAATAATTCTCTAATTTTCGTGATTTTTCCATATTTTTACAATTTTTGAACTTTAAATGCTTATAAAAAAAAATTGTGACTAAGGATTTTTAATATTTTTCATCTGCCTTTGAAACAATATATTAGGAGACTTCTATTAAATTTTCAAGCTTTCGCAACCAACAAATAAAATTTTATTGATATTTTTAGAAAAAAAACTAAAAAAAATGGAAAATGAAAATGTCCCTAAACAGTTCAAAATAAATCAAAATATTTTGAAAATGTTATCGTGTATAGAAAATGCAAATATAAACAACCAGTGAAAATTTCATGTATATACGTTTATTTGTATTAGAGTTACACCAAAAACCAAAATCGATTTTTTGGAAAACCAATTTTGCGTAAAAATTCCCGTTTTTCCTTAATTTTTATGTTGTTTTTCCCGGCGCTTGTGAAAACTACTGGGAAATTTATACTTTTGACCCCCCAAAGTACCAACTAGATTCACTTTCCTATCAGAAAAGCTACTGATGAAGAAAATCCAAGCACTTTTACTGTCCCAAAACGTGATGACAGACACAAAAAAAAATAAAAAAATAAAAAAATATAAAAACACATATCATTGTAAAACCAATACATTCATCGCTACATTCTCTATCTTTTTGTAATGGATGATTTTACTCTAAGATTACTTAAAAATATGGAAAAAATGATTCTGTGTAAATGTTTTTGTCTATGTTTTTGCAAACAAGTTTGTAAAACAAATTTTTTTTATTTGTATTAAAAATTAAAATATTTAATTTATATTGATCCTTCGAAAATATTAATTAGTAAATGTGATAAATTTTATATAAAAATGTAAACATCTTTTAAATTAATAATATAATATGAATATATTGGGCTCAGCATTGTAATTATTAAAAATATAAATTTAATATAAATTTAATATAAATTTAATTAAAAATGTATTTAATATACAAATTAATACTTACTGTTAGTGCTTTTGGGTGGTTATTCATTTGTTTACAACAATTACTAGCAGCTGTTACAGCATTTCTCATCTTATGTAATGCTATATAACAATCTACCATACCTTTATGCGGATCGAAAAGATAAGACGCAATCTAGAAAATAATAAACACGTATAATATCATAAAGAAAAAAGAAAATTTTATTACTTACATCATTAGCTTTACGGAATTGTAAAATAGCATCTGAATACTTTTTCATACTTGTTAATATCATTCCGTGCAACAATAGAGCTTCAATATTTTTTTGATCAACAGAACAAGCCTATAAAAACACGATTATTGTTGTATGGTAAATTGGTATATTTATTTAAAAATCATTGTAAATACTTTTTGCGCTAAGCACAGTGCTTTAGAATAATTACTATTGCTATAACACACAAAAGCAAGAACTATCCACATATGGGAGTCAATCGATGATTCATCTGTATAACTAGTTGGGAGCAATTTTTCTAAATCTCTATTGTGTTTTTCCATGTATAGACACATGGCTAGTGTGCACAGACCATCTTGCATTAGTGGATTTAACCTGTAAGCCTACAAAATACACTGTGTTAAAATATAATTTAGAAATTCAAACAAGTAATTATTGTAAATAACTAACTCTTTGTAAGTAAATAAGCGCATTTTTACGATCTCCATAAAAATAATATGACTTTCCTATAGCTACTAATAATCTATTACTATTGCATAAAGGTGAGTTATCGTCCAATTGTTTTAATGTATTGATAGCTGCAGGATACTCAGTCTGTTGAAACAGATAAGCATGGGCTTTTATCCAGCCACTGATCCTAAAAAAATATATATATACAATAGGTGATATAGTTCCAAATATTTATTATTAAATACTAACCATTCAAGTCCATTAATTCCAACCATTTCTAACATCATAGCGTTCACTTCTGTTCCTTTAACACCTAAGCTCAAAAGTCCTTCAGCTGCTTCAATTGCTAATGGACATTCCTTGAAAATTAAAACTGAATTAAACTAGGTACATAAGTATATAATTATAGTTAATTATTCCGAGAAAAACAATGTAGTTGTTGATTTTAATTTTATCATACAGCAACTGTGTTTACAGTGTAAATGTTGATATACATTTAAATAAATAGTATAAAAAATATAATTAAAAAATAAGATTTATATTTAGGAAATTGTTCCAAAGATAATTAACATTTTAGGTTTGTCAACAGTTTCTACTGTGGTTAAAATTACTAGAAATTAGTAATAATATAACTTCTAGTTAAGAGAAAACAAGATATCAACAGACATTATTGCAGATACTTACTTTTAGAACTTTGTTATAAGCAGTAACAGCGTGAACAATATTGCCCATCTGATGATTAAGTTTTGCTATAGCCATGTTAATTTTAGTTTTTCTCTGTTTGGACGGTACCGATTGTAAGACAGTTAAGGCCTGTTTATTATCTTTTAATTTCACTAAACATAGATGCAGTTGATATTTAATATCTGAAAAATAAAAAGTATTTTTATTTTTAAAAATTATTAGTACCTACACTCACACATAAATTACATTAAACTTGTTTATAATTATATTATATACTAACCTAAAACAGGCATAGGATCTTTTGTGCCATCATATGCAGTTTGTGGTGGGTTTGCTGAAATCCAGGCTTCTTTAAATGTCAACGCTGTTATATAAGCAGCTTCTGCTTGACGATAATTACCTAAGGAGTAATGTGAATCACCCTGATATGCTAATACACGGAATTTGTGTGGCGCTGTTAAGATATCCGTTGTATGTTCACTAACTTTTAAAACCATTTCTGCCTAAAATGTAAGTAAAATGTGTTAAAACTTAAAAAAATATATTTAAATTTTATAACACAACAATTAATCTAAAATTTACCACTTTTATGACATTGGAATGCAATTTTTGGCTGTGTAACAATTTTATTTGATCAAATAACATACTCATTTTGGAAAAAAAATTAAAACTTTGTATTAGATTGCCTTTATCAATAAAAACTATAAGCAAGTCTAAACGTAATTATGTATACAATTAATATCACTGTTCTTTGTTAGTAGTAAAAATAAAAATGAAAAAATAGACAAATACAATATTCAATACGTATTTTAAAATAAACAATAGGTACAATTCGATAAACTTATAGTTAAAAATCTGGGAAAAAAGGTTATTCTGGAAGAATACAATTCCGGTAAACTACAGTAGCATAATAGTTTAACATAACAAAACAAATGGTAAATCAATTTTATAAATTAAGTAAATAAGACGTATAAACAATTAACGGCTTAATGCGGCATCAAGTATCAACAACCATTACTGTCTGAATGTTCATATTATGACATGCTGTAATCAGTGTAATCTGTTATCTGTTTGACTACTACATACCACAATAATAACAAAGCTTGAACAAGAAAGACCAACCGCGGTTCACAAGGAGTCTTCTGAATTTATTAATTTTCCCGCTTAAATCAAATATCAACGTAATTACTAAACTCAACTATAATATTTAAATTATTATTTATTCATATAGGTATTCTGATATTCAATGAAAATTTTTCCAAATTATATGGGGGGTATTGCTTCTGCTTGCATAATTATTTATCTAATAAGAGTATTAATAAATATAATTATTATTATAAAATAAAACTTTATTCGTTAGGGCAAAAAACTTGAAAATGTAATACAAAGCTCCAATATAGGTATTATTACAATGACAGTTGAAAAATATTAAAAATCACAATTTTTTTATATAATCAATTAAAGTTCGAATTTTGACAAAATGTATCAAATTTAAACTTAAAAAATTATTTTGTAGTTGAAAATGTATTATATCTATGTTCAACTTTTATAGCTAAGAACTGAAAATTTAAAACAAGGTTCCACGTAGGTAAATAGTTTATAATATATGAATTACTTTATTCACAAATTTACAATAATATCATCGAATATACTAAATAGTTAATAATATATCAGTATTACAGAGCGACACCCACTTGCCCATGCTTTTAGATTCTGAGCTGAGCGAGGAATCTAGTGGTTTAACAATGGTGTTTATTTATTTTTTTATCCTGTATACAAAATTTCTACCAGTCAAGGGATACTTTGATTTCACCATATTATAGTATCTTATCTTTTAGCAAATTGGATCAAGATGATACTATAGAGAGGTCATTTTTTGATTTTCTCAATAGTTAATTAAAGACACGGAAAAACCACCGACAAATTACTAAAAACGGAATTTTTATTTCTATCACTTTGTTCATCACGAAAGGGAGACACTATTAACAATCTGTTTTTCACATTTTTTTTTCTCAAAAGTTCTTTTTCTCAATACCATTTTTCCCAAAAGTTATTTTTCACAATACCAAATCTATCAATATAAGATCTTATCAAATATAAGAAATTATTTATTGTTAATTTTAAAATGTATAATAGTAGCCTGCAGTAGGTACCTATAATAAAAAAAGTAGTTAAAATTAGGTATTTAATTATTAATTATTACACAAATTATTAACACATTGTTAATTTTAAAATGTATAAGTATAGTAAAAAAAATAGTATAAATAAATAAGTGCATTCAAATTTTAAATTATGACCAATAGCCGTGTGGTATGCAATAATATCATTGTTATTAACAAATTCGTCATACTTGAAAACAATATCATGTATTCGTTCCTCTACTTTTAGACTTTAGTCGTACCATATTAAGACCCTTCCTTATTTTTTGTCCCAGATTTAGTTGTCGTAACATGCACCCAGTGTCGGCTTGTTCTTTGTATACCTTTATGTATAAAAATGTACCTCAAAATATTTTGCAATTGGCAAATGGTCATCTGGTACTTTTCCTAGTAATTCATCAAATGTTTCAACTAGGTACTTTTTCTGGTAGCAAAAATGCTAAAGCACCGGTATCTCTCTATGTAACGGTTTTCTGGATTATAATACTGCAGACTTTGTAACCCTTCTGCCTGGATACGATGATTTTCCTTAATTTTTCTTTTGTTTTCCACGCGCTTTTGAAAATTACTGTAAATTTTAAACTTAAATATTCACTTTCCCATCTAACAATGGATACTGAAGTTGAAAATCGAAGCATTATTTCGACTACCTATCGTGTACACAAACACAAAAATAAAAAATTTAAATTAAAAAAATTAAAAAAAACACACATCATTGTAAAACCATTACATTCTTCGCTTCGCTCAGAATCTAAACTTTAATTTGGTAATAATAATAATAATATAGATATAATAACATATTATGTGAAATATTCAAGTTTGGTTGTACTGCTATTAGTTTTTTTAAGGAAATACATAAGTAAATTAAAGTTAACTCTCATAATTTGTAAAAATAGCAGTTAAGAACTATGAAAGATGATGCATATCACAATTTTTCTTTACAAATATTTAAAGTTCAAATTTTTACAAAATTCATAAAAACCCAAAAATGTTAAATTTTTATAGCTATGGATTGAAAATTTAAAACAAGGTTTCTCTTAAAGTTCATAACATTGTAAGTTTTCACAAAAAATCTAAAAAATATATTGAAGGGAGTTTTTTTTTTTATAAATATTCTAAAAGTATTGAACAAAATTAGATACCTATTTAAACAAAAAAAAAAAAAAAAACGATTTCAGTTATTTTGTTGCAATTTAAAAATAATATTAAGTTGAAGGCTGAAGCTCTAATAAAGAGTATTATTATATGTTATATACACATAATAATGTTTTCAAATGCAATTGTTAAAAATTAATTCAATCTACTGTACTGATTAGTGATTACTAAATAATGTATAATATTAAAATAAATTACTTCAATAAAAATAATATCATAAAATTTACTTGGCAATTAGTAATATTATATAGGCTAACAGACCGTCTCCACTCAGAATCGTTTTTCGTATGCAAAATGTTTATATAATTTAATTCAAATTATTGAAAAATAAATAATATGAAGATTACAAACCAAATCACGCCACTTTGTAGTACATCAGCATACATATTACTTTCATATTAATTGGTTATAGATAAAAACATAATAATACAACACCTATATATGTGTACACTGTACAGGATTATAAGTAGATTTAGCCGTTTAGGTGCGATTACGCTGCAGTCGGTTTGTATACATTCGTTGTATTCGTTGTACCTACGTCGTTGAGAGTTTATAACGTTTATTTCATTCGACACATATTATATATTTAACGTTGAATTTCAATCTTTATAAACATTTATTATTATTATTTAGAATAAAACTTTCTATTTTAAAATGTCTAAAGTTCCTTCAGTAAATATGTCTAATTATGACAAACAAGGGTGTCTCGACGAGATGTTTAAAATTCAAGCAAACGCTACCCCAAATGCAGTTGCCGTAATTAATATTGACGGCTCAATGGTTAGTTCAGTTTATACCTATAATATGAAGTTGAAATATAATACGTTGAACTGTTATTTTTTCATTTTAGGTGACGTTTAAAGAATTAGATGAAATGACAGATGTATTGGCCGCCAAACTGAGGAGCATTGGTGTAGGCAACAATACGATGGTCGGCATCATGATGGAACGTTGTCTTGAGTACACCATTAGTTACATTGCTATTCATAAAGCTGGTACATACGTCATTATATTATGTGTTTGTTATTTATGGGCAAAAGGTTTAATACTCAACAAGTTGTATTCTAAAATCGTATCTGTATATAGGGGGCGCATGTTTAATCCTGGAGGTATCGTATCCATTACCGCTTCTCCGTTCAGTTTTAGAGGATTCGACTCCCAAAGCAATTCTTACTAAAGAATTCTTTGAAAGTCGATTTAAAGAACAGCAACTAATTTATTTGGATAATGGTTGGTACGACAGTTTGAAGACATCAGTGGATAAATCACTACTCAAAAAAGAACCAAAGGAACTGGATGACTTAGCTATTGTAGTGTTCTCATCTGGTACCACGGGAAAACCAAAGGGTATGTTTGGCCGTAAATGTTGATTATTTTATTGCGAATCTTAGATAATTTCAGTATAAAAATAATCTTTTCTCTAAGTTCTTTGTATTTATCATTCATATATAAAACTATTTAGGTTGGTTTAAATATAATTTACAAAAATTACTTTGTTAAAAACTAGAAAGTACTATAAGTACTTTAAAATTTACAAAAAATTTACACTTTTAAAATACTCATAGCTCGCTTTAATATTAAAATACAATAAAAAGCCCATGAGGTTGTCTAGATAATAATCTTACCTTTAAATTTTATAAGAGGTCAATTCACTCTAATTTTTAAGCTAAAGGAGCTACACGTGTTCTTCTTTGCGTATAATTTGTTATACATTGAATATTCACCCGTAAATGAACAAATTCTCATACGATTTTCTTATTTTGTTGTACCTAATTCAAAAACTAATAACCATAGATACTTGAAATTTACACCTAATATTTATTTCTTAATTTCCTATACTAGATACAATTTTCAAAATAGTTTGATTCGTTTTGAGCTGTCTGCGAATGTTTTTAATTTTACATTTTTTAGTTTTTTTTTTCTATAAATATCAATACAATTTTATTCGTTGGGTCAAAAAGCTTGTAAATTTAATACAAGGATTCTGGACTCACTTGAAACCTACTGTACAACAGAGGGACACCCACTTACCCGCCTTTAATTTTAATTTTTACCTTTTTTAATGACATAATGCATTTTTAATTTCATATTCCGAAAAATATTGTTATTTTTAGTATTTAGATCTATAAAAATCATATTTCGGACAAGAGGTTTATTATTTATAAGTATTTAAAGCATTGACGAGTGGTTTAGTAGACCAACATTATTTACACCGTATCCCTGTATCACTCCACACCGCCAAGCTAAACTTTAAATACCTACTTATAACTCATTCATAAATTTCTATACATCGAAGTTGTCCTAAAAATATTGTACTTAAGAAATAAAAATTTAAAAAATAGCTCTGCTGTACAGTAGGTTACAAGTGGGTTGCTGTAATGGATGGTGTTAAATTTAAATTCAATGATATAATATAATTGTTTAAGAAAAACGATACTGAGCGAAAACGGTCAGTCAGTCCATGATATTACTCAGTATATTTGATGATATTATTGTGAATAAAGTAATTTATATATTATTTACCTATTTACGTGGACCCTTGTTTTAAATGTTCAATCCTTAGCTATGAAAGTTGAACATTTTATAAATTTTGTCAAAATCGAACTTTAAATGATTATAAAAAAAAACTGTGCCTATGTATTTTTAATATTTTTCAACTGCTAACAGTTCAAAACAAATCAAAATTTTATCGTGTATAGAAAATACAAATATAAGCTACCAGTGAAAATGTCATGTAATTGTTTTAGAGTTAGGTAAATCAAAAACCAAAATCGATTTTGTGGAAAACCGATTTTGCGTAAAAATTCCCTTTTTTCTTTAATTTTTTTGTTGTTTTTCCCGTCGCTTTTGAAAACTATTGGAAATTTTAAAATTTTACTTCCCGAACGCACCAACTAGATTCACTTTCCCGTCGAACAAGATACTGTTGAAGAAAATTGAAGCAGTTTTATTGCCATAAACAGTGATGACAGACAGAAAAATTAAAAAAAAAAACACATCATTGTAAAATCAATACATTCATCGTTCCACTTAGAATCTAAAATGAATAACAATAAAAAATAGGAAAAAATATAATTTCCTAGAAAAATGTTGTATTTTAATGACTTAAAATTATTGTAAAAACACATTTTTTATAAAACGTTAGTAATTTTTGAAATGTTTGCCTTTTATATAATTTGTATAATAGTTTTTTCAATATTTAGTTTAGACTTTAGACACTAATTAGGTACATGTACCTATTACTGTATTAGAACAACTATCAGTATCAACTAATTAATAACTTTGGTTAATAACTGACTAAAAAGATGGAAATATAAATAAAAAAAACTACTAGATTACATTTCTTTAGTACCTAAATGGCTAAATGTGGTAGTTGCAGGTTATAGGTATTTACCTAATATTTTGAAAACAGTTTTGCTATGAAATGAAAATGTGTTGAGGTACTTTTTTTACAGGTCTTCACTAAGTACTATAAAAATAGTTATTTACTTAGGTATATTCTATATAAAAATGTAAAATTAAATTGTTAAGGTATTCAATGTCCTCATCGCGGGGCTGTATATTCATTTACATGGAGACATAAAGCGTATCCTTACGTGGCTGATGACAGAGAAGCTTGTAACGTATTTTTCATATGGGAAATGATCAGACCATTACTTAAAGGTAAATACACTTTTATATTGGCGTAGATTGGCGGTACTTTTATACTAATTAAATGGTATGGATTGGCAGTACTTTTAAATAATAATATTTTCATCAGGCGATTAAGATCAATAAAATAATTATTATTACCTACTCCTATTATAATAACTTATCTGTAAGTTATTACTTATTAATACTATCATTCAGCAATATAATTAATATTATTATCATTCATATTATTAACCTTAGACCTTATAGTCACTTATCATATCATTAATATTGGTTATATAATTATATAATAATGGTTATAATAACTAATTGGGAGCACTCGATATGCTGAAACATATTTAAACTATTAAATAAAAAAAAAAACAATATAATAATAAATATTAATTATAATTCCCTAGGTGTAAATTGTAAAATGTAAATGCATATTTCCAATTAAATATTTTTAAATATAATAAATTTATAAATAATTTATAAAGCATAAAGAGCAAATATATTTTTTTTCCATATTAATATATGTTAGTATATTAGTATACTATGAATAATTTTTTAAGTTTTAAAAATTAGCTTACTAATGAAATAGTTATATTTTTTATATTTTTATTTTATATATAATACTACCTATCTGAATATTTTGGTTTCGACCTTGTGCAGTTTTTTTTTAGTAAATCCTATATAGTATAGGTGTATCTTGGTTTAAGTGTATCTTAGTTTTAGTGTAGGTACCTCAGTTCACGGACAAATCAGCGTCAGAGTACCTAGCTTCATGAAATAATTCAACCTAGATGGGCAACCGCTGAACCGCAAGTCGTGGATTGGATTCAACACTTAATATATTTTTAAAGTGGTTTAAGCTACTTACCCTTTAAAATTTTCTGACATAAATATCCAAAAAGAATCTCTGATATTTTCGTCAAATTCGATTGAATAGTTTTTGAGTATATGTATAAACCATACACATACCTACATTTGGTTTTAAGTTATAGTTTCTTCATTCGGTGCCATAACCGTGACAATTTGATGCATGTTTGTAATTGATCTGCTGACTGCTCTAGTAACCAATGCGAATGTAACGAATTTGGCATAAAAAAAAAAATTGTGAATCTCGGTGAATCTCAAGATCCCTGTTTGACCACCTCTTTAAAATGTGAATATCGGAAAATCTTTTCTTATTGCACATCTAGATCATTAGAAGAATCACGATTTCAAATTTCAAGTTCGTACGTTTTGTAGTTTTTGAGATTTAGCGATGAATGAATGAATGAGTGAGTGGAATTTGGCTTATATATATTTATGTGTAAAATTTTATGTGAATTTCTGAATTCAATAGTATATATTTTATGTTTGTTTTTAATAGCTGTGTTCTGTATAATATGTATACTGTAACATAATATGTTGATGGTTGACTATATTTATTATATTGTCTACTATAATATTGTATTATAATTTATAATATACGTATATATTTATAGGACTTCCTCTGTATATAATTCCTGATGATGCTATTTATGATCCTCCAAGATTATTGGAGTTTCTACGAAAAAATAAAATAACAAGAATGTTATTCACACCATCCCTTTTACAATCAGTCCTAGATTACAAGGGTATAAATGTACCCGAAGGATTCCAAACACTTAAGTAAAATATTTAATATAATTTTAATAGACCATACTATTTAATACTCGTTATATTAAAATGTTTCTTTACATACATTATTTGTAAACTAAAAGTTTTATTTATTTATTGCATATTTATCAGACAAATTTGGATATGTGGGGAAGTAATGACATCATCTTTAAGAGACCGAATGGAAAAAATTGTTCCGTGGGTCAAAATGTTCAATTTTTATAGTGTGTCTGAATGCCATGACGTGACTTGTGCTGGTGAATATTTAATTAATTATTTATTTTTATCTATTCTTTATTATTTAAAATTGTATATAGATGTTTCAAAAGCAAGTGACTTAGAACAAAGCAAATTTGCTCCCGTCGGTGCACCTTTGCCTGGTGTTCATGTATTAATAATGGATAACGAATACAATGTAAAAAGTATAGGAATATCAGGCGAGGTAAAATTATATTATATCCGGTTAAATAATGTTTTTCATTACTTTTTCAAGTACACGTAGACAAATATTAACCACTTTAATATAATTCATCCTATTTAATTTTATATAGATTTACGTCGGAGGACCAACACTTGCAATCGGATATTTAAATCGCCCAGAATTAACCGTTTTAAAATTTATTAAACGACCCAGTACAGTACCAGAAGAATTTGGTGATCGGTTATACAAAACCGGCGATTGGGGTTATTTAAGAACTGATGGAAGTTTAGAGATTTGTGGACGATGTGATACTATGGTTAAAATTAGAGGCTATACTGTTGAACTACAGGTTAGTATAATAATATAGGTAGTATATAAATATTATATATATATATAATTATAATTCATTATATATATAATATATATAAATTATAAACTATCATCATGCATCCAAATGACTATACATCAGTGGCGTATAAAGAAATAATTTTTGGGGTGGGCTATATAGTAGATAGAAACTAGCAAGTCATCTGTTACTTAGAGGCTACTGTATAGTCATAGACCATAGTGTCTACTATATATTTAACAGTTTCTATAAATATAGGCACCTATTCGTATTTGTTATTTTTCAACAGGCTATGAAATATTATAATTTATAAATGTTATAATAGTACCAAAAAAAAATATATTGTTGTTCTATTTAAAAAGATTGTAATTTCCGGGAGGGGGGTTTGAATCTAGGTAAAAAAATCCCCTAAGTTTGCTTTGTTGTTTTTGCTAAGTATACAAACTACAGATATAATTAATATAACAATGATGCGTCATAAAATATAAAATAAAATCTATTGAAGTTCTTTCTCCAAAAAATGTGTTATGATGCTTTCGTTGTTTAACCATATGCGACAATTATTGTCCAATAAATCTAAAGAAATATCCATGTCTATCATTATAGACTGTAGTCACTACTCACTCGCTTTATAATATATAAATATATTAATTAATAATTACTTTATATAATTTATTTGTATAGGCTATCGAAGCTACTATTTTAAGTGAGCCTGAAGTAAATTCCGTGTGTGTTTTATCTATTGGAGAAGAAGGCACTGACAAGTATTTAATAGGATACGTTGTATTAGAAGCTGAAGCAAACTTATCGGCATCATCATTAAAACAAAGATTGAAGCTTAAATTACCATTTTACATGGTTCCGCCATTTTTCTTCTTCTTGGATAGGTTAGTAATTTTGTATAAAATATAATATAGGTACCTATGGGTAACTCGTGCCAATTTTTATTATTTTTATATTTTTATAACTAATAAGCAATAGATTAAAAATTATTTATTATAGGTGATAATTGGCTTATAATATTGTTAGGTACCTACTAGGTAGGTAATTTTAACAAGTTTTTTCAATCAAAACTTTTTGCATAAACGAAAACGATAAATAATATTATCTAAGTGGTACTAAACGATTACATTTGACTATCACTTATCAATGTTAACTATATGGGTATACATAATATTAATGGTCATATTCTTAATTCGTTTTTAGTATTAAATACCTATCAACATATAATAATATTGTTATTTATTAATATTTAATAATTATAGAATAATTTTAAATATTAAAATGTTAAAATAACATAAATAGTTATATTAGTTAGGTAGGTATATAAGTTTTAACTTATAACAAAATTAAATAGTATAAAGTGATTTTTAATTATAACTTAATTGTAGATTGCCAGTTGTGGAAGCTTCTGGTAAATTGGATAAGTCAGTTTTACCAAAAATTATCTTGGATGAAGCAAATGGTATTTTAGTTGACAACTTTAAAACTCAAACTGAAAAAACAGTGGCTACCATATTTTGTAAGGCTCTAAAAACCTACAGTCTTGATGTTGAAGACAATTTTTTCGAGAATGGCGGGTAAGTGGAAAATAGTTTATTTGAGTAGGTAACACTATTTAATATATTTTGTACACTACCTAGTACTATTGTACAAGAATATAGTTTGAACATCTATATACAATATACATAACATCAAAATTTAAGTTTCAAAGGTGTTAATATTTTGGTTTTGTTATCATGTTAAAAACATATATTACCTATTTTAAATTCTCAACACACTTACAAATTATTAATCAATGTGCAGAAATTCCAGGTTTCTTTTCATCGATCATCTACAACAAAGTAAAATTAATACACCAACATACAATACTTGTATTTTACAATTTATCTGAAAAACCATGACAGGCTAGGAAGCAAATTTTTGAATACATACGTGGCTACTTAAGTACCTATTTTTAATTATGATACCTCTATTCTCTATACAGTGGCACAATATTAAGGGGGTTAAGCCCAGGCACGTAGCCAGGGGGGGGCCTGGGTGGGCCGGGCCCACCCTAAATATACTCTGGCCCAAGGCCGGCCCCCCCAAATTCAAAATATAATTATTTTTACCAATTATCAAAAATGTGATTATGCACATTGAGAGAAATCTATTGTGATTACTATTAGGTAATACAATTATTATTGTAATAATTTAATTATTATATTCGGGGAACCGTGGATAACTTTATCTGAAAAAAATACAATATAATATTGTCTTGATACCCTTTTTAAAAACAATAATATATTAGCCGCAGTTATAAGTCTATGCTAAGTTAGCTTGCGAAAGAACTTTTTCATGTCTGAGACGACTGAAAACCTTTCTGAGGAATCGCATGACAAATGATCGTTTAAATAATTTAGCTTCAATGAGCATAAAAAAAAAAAATTCTAAAAACTTAGATCTAGATATTTTTGTAAAATTGTTTTCGGAAAATCATAAAAACAGAAAAATTATTTTATATTGCACTGTTTAATCTATACTATAAGAGTCTGCTGCACAAAATAGTACTGGTTGGACCTCTCTTTCCCACATCAATTTGATTGATAACGTTGTCTCTTTTCAACATAAAGTGCATGTGCACAAATCAGCAGTGCAGCCAACTGTGTTTTTAATTATTTACATTTTATCACTCAAAGGAAGATCGGGCTCCTTGACATCGTTCGAAGGTACATAATATGAGGCGCGTTTCTATGTTGAAGTTTAAAAAAAATAATCTTTTGCACGGGCTACGCCGGGTGGGACAGCTGGTATATATATAAATCAATGTTTGTGGGTAGATTAAACCTCTGGGAAGAAGATAGGTTAATTTACCAATTGTTAAATTTGTTTTTTTTATTCATCAGATTTTAGTAAGATAAGGTTAGGATAGGATTTTGTATAAATTGATTATAATAATCCACCGTAGGTGGAATTAAGTAAAAAAGACAAACTTGGCATAACATTGATACTTTAGAGTTAAATCATACACTTATGTACACACTGCACGGGATTCGTGATCTACCACAGGTAGATTGCCTATACTTGATAATGTACTGTTGAGAATCAGAATTTTTATTCGGGGCAACTGAAAAGTTAAGATAAATTTTGAACACCACACACCGAATATTAAATAACGAATTTAACAAAGTTTGAGTCGTATAGAGTTGATACATTTAACGGGCAACGAAGTGCACGGGATCAGCTAGTATTTATATAAGTATAAGTGTATTATTAATATTTTCTACTAGTATGTGTTTTTTTTTTTTTTTTTAATAAATTTGAGTTTCTTTAAAAATTATATTAATTTAAAAATCGATGATCATTTATCTCTATTATTTTTGATAAGTATTCAAATATGAATTAATTTTTGAAGTGAAACAATTGAAGCAGCTTATTATTTTAAATATGTATGTAGATTTATTTTTCATAGCATGAAAAATGTATCCCATAAGTGAAGATGTAGGTAATTCTATATTTATTTTTTTTTTTGTTATCAGGTACTTTCTATTTTTGTAATTCTTAAATAAGTAAGTATTAGGTATAACTTGTTGTGAAAAAAATAATTTTAACCAATTACCAACTAAAGGTAAATTATTTAAATTAATAAGATTTTTTGTATTGCATACCCCTTACAAGAATTTCATAAAGAAAAATTTTGGAAAGTAATAAAAGGGCCAAACATTATTGGCCCCCCTAGTAGAAATTTTCTGGCTACGTGCCTGGTTAAGCCCCATTGGATCGTCTTATGACCACCAATTGTTCTTTTGACTACCTATAATATCCAACAAATCGACAAAATAAAACATTTTATCAAGTTTATCTATATTATGTAGTTGACGTTTAGGAAAGTAGGTACCAGATAGAAGGTACCTAGTGGCGTATCTACTATCTAGTGGTATCTATACTCCATATTTTAAATTGTAAAATCTATTGACTATGTAAGCAACTGTAACTTCACTACCCATTTGTTTGTTGTCTCGTTTTACAAACGTACAAGGTACAACATGGCAAATGCCACTGTCTCTATTCTCTAATCTCCATCCCATTCTTGAGTGTGTCCCTATTAAATATTAATTGATATTAGGATAGATAAGTAGATAACATATCGTACAATGACTACAGATCATAAGATCTACTTATTTTAGGACATACTGACATATCTAGAACATAGGTATATTCCTACTATTCATAGAAAAAAGTTTATTAGTATAGGTGCCTACTAGGCAATACATTTATTATTTTATTCCTACAATAATACTATATTGTAATTTATGAAAATGTATTAAACTTCTGTTATATTGTCATATTTGTGTTTTTTATTGATTGTTATTTTTAATTTTAGGCATTCATTATTAGCAGCTAGTGTAATTGGCGAATTAAATTGTACATTTGGAACTCAATTCCGTGTACATGATCTATTTCTAAATCCCAATGTTAAAGCAATGGCATCGTTATTAGATCAAAACATATCATCTGCATCACATGAAATTAACTTGATGGAGGAACTAAATAATCTTATTGATGACTCTACTATGTAATGGATATAGATTCTTGATTAGATATAAATACCTTATAAAGTAATAACATTTCATAACAAACATTATGTACATTTCTAGTTCAGATAAAATGATTAGATGGTTTTGGAGAGCTGTAAATCTAAATAAAAATAAATTCACTAATGGTAATGTACTCCTTACTGGGGCAACAGGATTTGTCGGTGCTTTTATTTTGCAAAAGTTATTGCAAACTCAAGTAATTATTATCTAGCTACTAATATTTATTTATTCCTTTATTTGTAAAACTACCAATTAAATAAAATATGTTTTTTCTAGGTAAACATATTTTGTTTGATAAGGGATTCTGCAGAATACAAACCTTTGGAAAAGCTTGAGCAGACAATGAAACGGTATAATATAAATGTCGGTTCTTCAAGTGGCCCATTTTACTCTAAAGTTGTTGTCTTAAAAGGTACCTAACAATATACATTTTAAATTAAATATTTGTGAAAGATACTATAGGTACATGCAGGGCCCCCACTAGGCGGGGAAATTGGTTGACCTGGAGTACAAGAGCCTGGCTATTGAAACGTTGATAGGTATACTTATTTTATACAAAAAAATATTTGACGTTTTGCTATTTTAAGCTGCGGATTAATCATTGATTACCTACTAAAAAATTACCATGGGACACCTGTATCACTTGTAATGGGTTGTGTTTTATTATTGGAAGTTTTGTATGACCGCAAAAACATTTAGTACATGGGTCCAAATCTTGATGTATGGGGATTGGCCGCCTGAGTACATACTAAATTTCTACCTATAGGCTGTAGTTATACTCATATTTAGATAAAACCTTTTTTTTATTATTAGCTTTTAACCATTAATTATTATTATAGCTCAACAGTTACATACATGATAATTTAATCATACCTATATTTAATTGGGCATTTGGGTAGATATACATAATAGTACAGAATAAGGATATAATAAATATTAATTAGGTAGTATTTATTATAACTAATAATTATGAGACATCATTTAAAAATATAATAATAATAAAATGATGAAATTATTATAGTAGGTATACCTAAAACTAAATAAATAGTTATAATATTTTCATTAGGGGGACTGGGGAGTAGATATAATTTGAGTTCCCTAATCTTAAATAAGCCATCAAGGATGATTACAATTGTTGATAAATATAGGTATTTAACTTAGTAACAAAAATATAATTGAAATTACTTTTGATAGGTAATTTCTATAGTATAACATGTTACAGTTTCAAATTATTTAGTACCTACCTATTGCAAATCGAAAAAAAAAAACTTAAAATATTATCTCCATGTAAAACCAATTTTTTTTTCAATGATGAAGTTATTGAAGAACCATGTCCAGAAATTGAACGATTTATGAAAGCTCCTTATACATCTAAACTCACACTTTTAAATTCAATGACGTTAGTCAAGAATATTTTTATTAAACACAACACAGCTTTTGTAGAGCGATTATTTAGTGTTGCAGGCGACATTTGTTCTAAAAAAAGATTGTGTATGAGCTATAACAACTTTGAAGATAGGTATTCTATTGTGTAAAGTTAATTTAAAAAACAAATAAATAATAACATATTATATTATATTATATTGTATTCTAAAAATTAATGAAATAAAGAAAAGGTTTTAATTTATTTATTAATTTAATTATTTAATAGGTAAGATTATGCTGTGAGTTTGTGACATAAATACATAGGTAATATACTTAACTATATAATAATTAGTTACTATTGTTATGTACTTATGTATTAACTGTACATATTTTTGAAATTATACCTTTTTACTTTAATTAGTGTACATTTTTATAGTTACATTATTATTTGCAGAATCATAATTGCTAAGAATATTTTTTTTTTAACAAGAAAGTAATGTAGTTACTTTTCTATTTGAAAAGTAGAGTAATTACTAATTTCATTACAATTTTATGTGCGTCAAGAGTAAAGAAACTTCATTACATTTATCTCTAATGAGTAGAGTAACTTAATTACTTTTTAGAAGTAACTTACCCAACACTGCATACAGCATAAACAAATAAAATATATATTAGATTAATAAACATACATCATACATGAGTAGGTTGTAGATTGTAGATTGTAGACATAATATACATGATATTATATAATATACAAATATATAACTATATATAGTAAGTTATACTATAAGTTAAAATTCTACATTATGTATAAAGTTGGAGTAGTTAAACCATGTTTATAATAATATATTATATTTATAAATTATTTTAACAGTTTAACTATGTTTTAGGTGATGTGTCTTTAGTAAATTTTGGAATGTCAGATGATGACTATGAAGCAATATGTTTTGATATTGATTATGTTATACATGCAGCTGCTCAGGTTAATTTATTATATCCATTTGGAGCATTGTATACAAATAATGTCATAGGTACCAAAAATATAATACAATTTTGTATGGATGGTAAAGTTAAACCATTGCATCATATTAGGTTAGTAAAAAATGGTCAATAATTAAGATATTTTTTATTCTTTAACAATTTTAAAATAATTTTCAGTTAGTTAATAAGATGGGTTTTGCATTATTAGGTATTTATTTATTCTTAATTCGCCCTCAGAGAAAATTAAAAACAAAATTTAAACAGCTTATTTTGTATTAGACTCAAATCATTCTATGGCAATATTATAAATTTATATTATAGATTTTGCCTATACTCTATATGTTACTAAGTACCCAGCTATACTTTGCTACACAGCTATACATAAATATAACACTTTAAACTATAATAAACCTTTTTAAAACACTGTCTTTTATGAAAATGATGGGTATTAAAACTTTTATAGTGTACTTGAATACTGAAACTAGATAGCAAGTTGATGAAATAAAGTTACATTGATTGAACTGAGAATTATTATTTATTTATAATAAAAACTACTTATTTTAATAAAATACATAAAACACATTTTACCTTTGACTACAATATTAAAAAAACAACAGTAAAATTATACAAAAGTTTAAAACATTAATAATAAGACATATTATGTAAATAATCTCAATATTTATAATAATGCTAAAAATTATAATATAATATTAAACATGAAAAAATGTTTATCTGCCACATTTTCAGCTCATCGGCTGTTTTTCCTCAAGGGCTTAAAGATATTTCAGAGAATGATAACCCTGAAAACTGGGCAACATTGCTCAAAAATGGTTATGGGCAAACTAAGTGGCTGGCTGAGCAGTTAATTTTGAATGCTATTAGAAAAGGATTACCAGCATCAATATATAGATGTGGAAACATAAGTGGAAGTAGATTGGTATCTAGCTGGAACTTGGCAGATTTTACTTTATTTATAATACAAGGTGTATTATATACGAATGCATATCCTGATATAAGCTGGGAGGTAAGTATTATAACAAGCATAGGGTATTAAGATATTATTATGATATAAGAGGATAAATTATAAAACAAACAATTAATAATATGCAAAATATTTACAGATTGAACTAACACCTGTTGATTTTGTTGCAAATACTATTGTGGAACTGACACAGAATATAAATGACTCATCAGGAAAAATCTACCATTTAGTTAATGACACGTTGAATTCAAAGTAGGTATTATGTTTTGAAATGGTAAATGGTAATTATATAAATAATATATCATTGGTATTTTCTTAGACATTTATGGGAAGTAATGAAGGACGTTGGATACAGTTTAGAATGCGTATCTTACAAAAAATGGACAGAAATAATTGAAAAAACTTCAATTCTTCAACCTCGATTAGCTTCACTCACTTATTTATTAAATTCTTCTGTGGAAGATAATAATTATTTCGAGAATCAATCAACAGTGAAAAAAATAAACATAGAATCGTATTTAGCTTCTGCCAATTTAAAGTATCCAAATTTAGACAGTAATGAATGCCATAGAATATTGAAAACATTAGCTAATTTGAATTTAATTCCACAAATGGCCATAACCATAGGTAATTTAAATTTATAATATTAACAATGGAGGATGATTTTATTAAAATAAATATTTTAAATCTTTTATCTGGATTAAAAAAAAAATAATAATTTATATTTACATTCTACATTAGTTAAGTATTTACCTACTTAGTAAAGTAAAGTAAACATTTGTTTCATTTAGATGTCACTACAACAATTTGTATTTTTAATTTATCTATTCTGAATTTCTCATGTTATAATTATGTATTTTTTAAAAACGGTACCTAGTAAATATATTTTAAGTATTTCAAATTTAAATTAAATTATTTCATATTTTAATGACTAAACATTTATAATATGTTGAAATTACCTTTCATAATGTGGAGGTATTTATAAAAAACACAATTTATTCAAAATAAGTTTACTATATTAATATGACTAAAAACCATGTATTATGGTTTCTAATGAACTAGAAACTACATGTCAAGCAAATGACAGGGATGCAGTCTTTTAGAGATCATGTGTGACGTGTAGTGGGAGGAGTGTACAGGATAGCTACAATGCTACATGCTATTCATTATATACCTAGCTGTTAGTAGCTGTCAGTACATATTCCTCTTTGATACACCCGTCCACATCTCTTGTAAAATTTTAAGTATCCCGCTGATAAGCTCTTGTTTCCTGTCTATTCTATCTTAGTCCATACGAATAACTTAATGTATTATATTATGATTCACACATTACCTGTTTTTTTTTAGGTTTAGAGAAATCATTACTAACACAGTCATTGCCTTTAAAGTCAAAAGTTGTATTTATTACTGGAGCTTCTTCGGGAATCGGTTACGAAATAACTAAAACCCTGGCATTAGCTGGAGCTATAGTGATTCCAACAGGAAGACGAATTCATCGTCTGATGGAATTAAAAAAGAAGATATATTCATTAGGGGTGACTGACAACACTGTTTTTCCATATGAAATGGATGTTACTGATCCGTTAAATGTAAATTTAATTATTTAGTTTATATATTGCTTTATAAACTGATGTTATAGCTGTTATGTATAATATATAAATAATATATAGGTAAGAACAGTGGTTAGAAATGTTGAAGAATCAATTGGCCCAATCGATATAATGATTATAAATGCAGGAGTAATGTATTATACAACATTTGATAAATTTAAATTAGATGAATGGGATGAAATGGTACGAGTGAATTGTAATGGTATGTTAAATTGTCTTGGAGCTGTTCTTCCAACTATGACATTAAGAAATTCTGGCCATGTTGTAAACATAACATCAAACGCTGGTCGAAAAGTAAGTAGTGAACTCAGAACTTGTATAGGTAGTTTTATATGTAAATCAAAAATTAATGAAATTTTAAAGTCATTTCCAGGTTTAGGGGTATACTCAGGAACAAAATTTTTCATGGAGGGCATAGCTAGTGCACTTAGAACTGAGATGACTGAGCACAACATAAAAGTCACCTGCATTCAACCTGGAGACGTTAAGACTGAATTATTACATAGGACTAGTGATTATGAGGTAAAAATAGTTTCCTGTATTATTTTGATACAATAATGATATTATTTTATAAATTTAGGCTTTAAAGCGATATGACTGCAGCTCTAATAATGAAATTCTCGAGCCATCAAATATCGCAGAAGCTGTCTTATTTGCAGTTAAACAACCATCATTTTGTGCTGTCAATGAAATTCTAATAGAACCAAAAATGCTACCAATTTAAATTTTTGATATCTCAATTCCATATTGTTCAAAACAAAAGAAATAAATGTATTCTATTTTTACTTTTAATGAAATAATTTAAAAACTTCAACATAATTACCAATCATTTTTATATAAGATGAAAAACAGGACTACAATATGATCACTCTAGTTGAGTGTACCTAACGACTATTTATAAAAAAATATAAATTTAGAGTTTGGATATTAGTGGAATTATATAATTATTCTTAAAAAGGTGGTCAAGTGGGTGTCGCTCTGATGTACAGTAGGTTACAAGGGGGTCACTGTTATGGATGGTGTTAAATTTGAATTCAATGATATAATATAATTGTATAAGAAAAATTCTGAATGAAAACAGCCTACAATCCTATGATATTACTAAGTATATTTGATGATATTATTGTGAATAAAGTAATTTATACATAACCTATTTACGTGGATCCTTGTTTTAAATTTTCAATCTTTAAATATAAAAGTTGAACATTTTATAAATTTTCAACTACAAAATAATTATTAAATTCTAAATTTGATAAATGTTGTCAACACTTTAACTTTAAATATTAAATAATTGAAAACTATACTATTTTATAGATAACAAAGCATATTATATGAAATACCTCTTCAAAAATATGGTTTTATAGAGATCTGAAATATTGACTAATTATCACTAATTAGTCCAAATTCCAATGTAAAGGACGCGAAGCGGTAGACGACTAATATTAGTTCTACACTATAATATGGTTAGTCTCGATTTATTGTCGTCTAAATAAAGGTACATTGCAATTTGAAATAATGAATTTTGAAATCGTTGCTAGTGAACGACAAAATAATTTGGTTATTTATCAAAATGGAAGCTTCTTTAAAACAAACTTGTTGAGTTTTAGTGATTTCCACTCAATGTTTAACCTATTTATATATTATTTCAGAGCGAAATTTATGTTTAAATGGCTTAATAGTTATTTGACTAACCGAAGCCTAGTTTTCAAAATAAACGGTATCATAAATCATCCATTGAGACAAAATTGAAGAGTACCGCAAGGTAGAGTTCTAAACCATTTTTTTGTTTATTCTGTACATCAATAGTTTATGTAACCTTGAAATCGACGAAAACATTATAACCTATACAGATGACACATGTTTAATTTTTGATGACAATTCTTGGGGAAATGTAAAAAAAGCAACTAATGAGACAAAAAAAAGTTATTAATAATATCTTAATTATTATAAAAAATTAACGGTAAAATCGGTAAATTATAAAAAACCTTGTTTATGTGTTTCACGATTTATAATTCAAATAAGCATTTAGATGAATTTATAAATTTTTTTTTGTGAAAACAATAACTGGTGTAAAAATATTTGGTATCAAAATATACCAAGTGTTTAAGTGTCAGGTGTCTCGGTTTAATTATTTTTTTTTTGCGTTGGAATTTACATGTTAATACCCTAGTTATGAAACTGTGTAGTTTAACCTCTAGCTTCTATAATTTACGTCATGGTACGTATAGTGTATTTATCTATCTAGTATCTATCAAGGTATATTTCAATTTGGTTTACCAGTCTGGGGAGGCCTGAATGATAATGATTCATTGTTTTATTATATCCTTTAATAAATCAACAAAAACAAATTGTACTCATAAGTCTGATTAGGGGTTGTGTAGGTTAGGAAGCTCTTCAAAGGATAATTTTAAGACATTTAAGTGCTAGGTAACGGGCTAATTACTATTCAAAAAAGTAGCTGTAATGTGTATAATAAAAATTTTAATTATCCGGTAATTATTAATGTCGAAAAAAGAAAATATCTACAGTTTAACGCCAAAGGTATTTATTTTAAGAAATCTCGTGGTAAAAAATGTGTGGACAATTTTGCCCCGACCTATTATAATTCTATGCCTTAAAAATTTGAAAACAAAATATATTTATATAAATAGGAATTTTAATGTTAAATAACTTATACTCGAATGGTTATTCTTATTATCTATTTAATAATGTATAGTGTATATTTATAAAACTATATTAGTATCTATGTAATAACATAAATCTTTTTTTTTCATTCTCTATTTTTAACTATACCTATAGATAGGTCAGGTTAAGTTAGGTTAGGTTACTATAGTAAGATTTACATTTTTAATGAATTTATAATAATTATTAAAAAAAAATAAATATGTTCAATTTGAATAACGTACTTAATACACGATAATCTATATACACGTATTGTTATAAAGACGTCTCTTAAGTCACACCTCACATATCTACCTCGAACTCAGTTTGATGCTTTTGTGCCATGTTACAGTAAATATAATTTTTTTTATACTGAAGCTGAACCAATAACCTAGTCAAAATAATAATATTTTTGAAAAATATGTATTATTATTTCTAGTACTTACTACTTACTAATTAATTATTTGTAATTTATTTTTTTACGTTGTTCAATATTTCAAATCTCAGTAATAGATTTATGTAAACGCGGCGCGTTAGATAGGCAATTCAGGTACACTTTCACCGCGTGCAGTAGTTTTTTCAATAAAACTATCATCTTATCCTTGTGTACGAATACAACTACTGCCCTCTTAAACTGGTAAAAGGAAATAAGCAATAAATAATAACTCAGTAGTTTCGAGAAATATAGCTTTTTCTTGTTGTTAAATTTTATAAATCGACAAATCGAAAACAATTTGTTAGAATAGGTACATAATAGTATATCCGACATCTGGTGTACCTCAGGGGGCTATTCTTTCACCGTTATTGTTTCCTCTATATGTAAATAGTGCGGCCTCTATTATGTGTCACACACGACGCACGCCATCTTATATTTTCCGATGAAATGAAACTCTTTATGCGTATTCACAATGAAAATGATGCTAGTCTTCTCCAATCAGACGTCAACCGGTCAGTACCTATATGTTAGCCCAGTATTACTAAGTGAAGCATTAATGTAAGTTGTAATACACCCATTATTGCAATAGATATACACAGTGCCGGATTGGGAAGAAATTACTTACCAGGCTGCTGTCCGCCTATTATAGACCGGCCCAAATCTCTGATTCCAAATTTCATTGAACTGGCCCAAATCTTTCGAATTTTTAACGTCCCACTACCGGGCCCAGTACCAATGTATATATATAAATAATACCTAAATTATGTATGATTAAATGAATAAATATATTTATTTATATTGAACCATATTATATACATTGATTTTGACATTACTAAATAAGTAGGTAATGCATTTGTTTGGATTGATTTATAATACAAATGCATTATTAAAGTAAAAAAGGAGGGTGAGCATGTGCCCATCAACTAGGGATATGCTCAAGGGACTTGTACATCCCTAAAAAGTAAAATACTTTTTCCATTATACTTTGAAGTAAAAATGATCAATAAATACAAAAATGTTGTACTATAATACGTCTATACCTTTATATTGTATAATTAGGAATAAAATATGTAGGTACTTTATTTAAGTACTTTGCTATTATGTTCCTAGCTATAACATAATATTATGAAATAATCTTTAACTTATTTAATGTGTTGTACAGAACAGGCCACAACTACGTAGTTAATACTTATTAGTTATTTGTGTAACAATAGTCATAATATTATTGATTATCAGTTGGCGAAATAACTTTGAACACAAAATAATGACATTATTTATTTCTCATTTTTTAGAGAACGCCGCCACCGGTCGATTATAATAATATTGTAATTTACATAGATCGGTACAGCAAAAACTGCACTGCTCTCTCGTATAACATTGTTCGTTATTTAAACATCAATAAAACATATTTTAATATAAATAAATAAAAATCGAATTTAACGTTGAATAGGTTTTAATTTCAAATTTTTAACTTTGTTAAGCACGACATTTGAACATTTTAGTGTGTTTCAGCCTCTAGGCCACTGTTGCCGAGGGATTTGTAATATTTGTATTTGTCACATATCATTATAAGTCCAAGAGGAGTAAAAATACAGTAGTTTTAAATTATTAGGATAATATCCCTTCGATTCTTATTTAAAATTCAACGCTGTCCTAATATTATAACTATGACTATATATTATTATTATTAATATTAATATATTTAATATTTATCATATTCGTATCATATATTATATTTTATTTTATTTATTATTGTTTAGAGATTACCAAAGTTCTATTTCTAAATCTCCTACCACAGACTATTTCCTGTTTTAAATGCCTTGAAACTCATTCACAATTTTTTTTATGGTCCTGGAACTAGAGGTCAGAAGTGTCATGTTTATCTGTTTTACGTCCGGAGTCCTCAAGAAACCATTTTTACATTTTTTTTTTTTTTACGAGTTTGGTTCCTTGAGATACCTACATGTGGCTCTTGAATCTATAATAATTATATGCATGAAATTACCATCGATTTGTGAAATGATTTAATTTAATTACTTATATGGCTATATAATATAACTTATAAGTAAGTAGGCCTAGTGTCTACCAAATAATTACATGTATAAAAAAAATAGGTTAGGTTAGGTTAGGTTAGGTTAGGTTAGGTTAGTTTGCTTACTATATTAACTTTGTTTATGCATATTACATAATGCATATATTGTATATTTGTATGGTGGTACCTACTAAAGATGTAGTGTACCTACTCAAAAATGTTTACATACAGCTGGTTTAGTTTCACGTTTGTAACTTCGACGTTCGCCAAATATGTTGTTAAGTCATTAGTTTGAAATGATAATCTTATCTTTTCGGTGGACGAAGCGGATTATAATTAGTATAAAAGCCACGGGCTAGGCGACTTTGGCCACTGTGTGATGAAGATATTCATTTTCATTAATTTATTTTGTATTACATTCATATTTTGTTGTACTGTATTGTCATCACTTAACAGTCATGTTGTAATTCTTTATATTGTAAAATAAAACATTTATATAATAAAGTGTCATTCATTAATTATTGTGTTATGCATTCATTCATTAGTATAATTATTTAAGTAATGAAGCTAACACGAAACAGCCACCTTCGTGGAG